GAACCCATTTTTTATTAGGGACCCGCAATGGCGGACAGAATTCGGCGGGGATGCATGCCAACCGCTTGTACAATGGTGTCCCACGAAAACCCATAAGCCGAACAATCAGGATTTGCACGCCTCACTCGCACCGCAGCCTGCATTGCAGGTTGTTTCCTCACAAGTGAAAAAGAAATGACAGAGCCATGGACAAAGTGAGGCTGCCTGGCGTGTGCAACTTTTCGCTCCTGAGCTCAACTGTTCACCCGCGAAATTGGATGGGGCGGCTCGCATCCTATCTCCTCTTCTTTGTGTTTTGCTCCTGCTTTGGAGTTGGAACTGGCAAGGGAAGTGGGAAGCCCGCGAGGGGGCGGGGTAGAAAACGGAAAGGCCCCAGTCCCCGTCCATAGTCCCTCTCCTGCACCCGCTTGCACTGAGAATACATGCGCTCGCTGGCGCCTTCCAGCTTCCAGTACGCCGTCTGAATGGCGTAGTTGGGCTCGTGGCCTGCAGTTCTCACGAAGGTTCAGCCCAGTCACCGGCTTTCCCGTACCCAGTGACCCGGTCTCGGCCTGCCCGGTACCGGCCAGTGAAGTCCCGCTGATTTGCCCCCGAGCTCCAGGATTCCCCTTCTCAATGCCCGCAACAACTGCAGGAAGGCGTGGCTACCAAACGTCTTTGGCTTGCTAGAAAACAAAAGGCACGTGAACACACACACACACACACACACACACACACACACACACACTCACACACACATTTGCAAAACAAACAAACAAACAAACAAACAAACAAACCAATATGACCACCCTTGCTCAAGAGATGTGTTGCTTCTTGAAGCATGAATCCGCCCTCGGCTTTGGCCCGAAAACGGTTCGGCCTGGGGGACAGTCGTGCGTAGCAGGCATGGCGTAGGTCGGCGGCATGATCTCGGTGTACACCGGCTGCAGCAACCTCCGCGCGCGCGCCGCAGCCGGGCCGCGCGGGCTGACTTTGATTTTGATCGGGAGTTGGTTTCTTAAAAAGATCCGGGCAGTGTAGTCGTGTTGTGCCAGTTTCTCACAGAAGGCCCAGCTAGAGAACTGAGGCTACGCAACGAGGTAGGGCTTCTTTAACCTTTCCCTCACAGAAGGGGCGCGTGCCTGAGGGAACAAAGCAGTGCCTTCCTCGATGTGCACGGGCAAACCACGGGGTTTTGAACCCAGCACTAAATCCCTATCAAAGCCTCCCACGAAGGAGTCAGAATCAAAACCTGGTACTCAAATGGTCTACCCAAAAGCATGCTTCTACAATTCAAAAGGCGGAATGTCCACACCCGTTTCTGGCCGAGTTGGTCACTGATGAACCCAAAAAAAAATCCAGGCGGCTGTTTGCAGTGCTGGAGCTGGAACTCCTGGTAGGTGTGCTGCAGCCGGTTCTTGGAGTTCTTCCCCTCAGGCGACTCCTCCAGCGCCAGGAAGAAGAACACGTCCACCTGGCGAAGCCTTCCGAAAGGAGCGAGCCCACTGCTATCCTGAGCATATCCATCTGCGGAATTATGTGGGTTGCTTTTTCTTGTTGCTTGTCTCGTTGTGTTTTTTTTTCCCGGATGTATTTTGGTGGTGCAATCCACTGGAAAACTATAGCATTCCCCTTCGAAGTCCACAAATACTGCGGATGGACGAAATCCTGCACCACTTGGGACAAGGTTGAAACCATTATTTACTGGCATTTACAAGGGAATCGAATGATTCTAGGGATTCTTAGCTGGTGCGAACGGATTTCGTCTATCCACAGCGCTATGAGCAGGAACTGGAATTTCCCCGCCTCTTTCGCTGTTTTTTGGACATAGGGGTTGGATCAGAGGATGACAGCATTGCACTGTGCAGGGTGCAAGGTGGTTCAGGCGCTCCGTACCAACATATAATTATATATATATATATATCGTGGTGTGTTTTTAGGACCCCCCCCAAAAAAAAAAAAAAAAAAACGGTGGTGTTCCAAGGATCCGGGTGAAAAGCCGCCACGGCTTTAAGAGGAACACGCCAAGCGCCTGCACCTTGGGGTCACCAGAAGGTATCCCCGGTCCCGTTGGGTTACTGTCGGTCAATTATAAGGCAGCCAAAATACAACTTCTGCATCTCGTATCTGTTCGCAAATATGTGCAACCTTCCCAAGTGTGCAACCAAAGCCCGGTCAACAGCATTCGGAATGGTAAGGGCGACCACGTCTATTTCGAGTCGAGGGGTCTTGTTGGCTTTTGGCTCAAAGCTGCGTTAATAAGGCCATGTATCGGTTGCATACTACACTCGTATTGTGCATATTGCGTTGCATCAGTGCACCGCGGCATACCCGTTGAAGCCTTGCTTTAGGTCTCATGTGCATTGAAGATCTCCCGCTTTCAGGGAGACTTCTGGAACTCACAGTGATTCCCAGGTTTCAGGTGGACATCGGCATGTACATTGCATACGTTGGTGTGCTCGCAGCTTCCAATCACCGTTGGAAGTCTTCTCATTTCGGATAGCGGCTCACCGTGAGAACT